TGACCTCTGAAACGTTGGTGGACATCTACCAGACTATGCGGCGCAACAACCCAGAAGACAGCAGTCTTCACTTATTTTCTTGTATGTTAGCATGTAAATATTTAAGAAAACAAAGTAAAACCATGTATATCTGTATGGTATAGCCCAGAGCAAAGGCCCACAATAACAATGAAAAATATTCCCCTGGATATCTGTTCTGTACAGAGATCTTTCTGGTAAGTTTCTTTCTCTGGATTCTCAGCTGGTGAGATTTCAGGTATTCAAGGAGACAAACTTATGGACTGTGTTCTTCTGGATTAGAATATTTCTCTGAAATGTTGGCAGATGCCTACGAAACATTACTACCCATAGGACCACTGTCCAACTTCTGGAGAAAATTCATGGTGTGAAAAACATTTCTGTCTACCATTTATATGTATTTGCTTCTCTCTTTCACATTTATCATGTTATGCTTAAAGATATATGCCTATAATCAATAGTTTGGTTTTTAATTATCAAAAAGTAAAACTGAATGGTAGTTACTGTGTGGAAAAAACAGCTAAATTAGAATAAAGCACATACAGAAATAATGTCCAGTACTTTCCTAAATTTGAAACTAAGTACTGTATTTCATCCACATTGAACTCTTTAATTGAGAATGTGACCGGAAATTATGCTGATCATAAGTCAGTTGTCATTTTCTGGCTTGAGAAACTTCTATAAAGAAACAAGCATGCCCAATACTTTTCTCCATCTTTTAGACTTATTGGACTTCATTTTGTAAAAATAAAATTTCTTGCAGGAGTTAATGCTTCTATTTATAGTTATTTCCTTCCAAGCAAAGGCAATATAATTTACTTATTAGTCATGTAATAAATATATTTTATGAACATTAGAAAATAATTTTAATGTATTGCATATCACTAAGCTGTGTCTTATGACATTTTATGGACTTTGTTTTATGAGCTGGTAACATAACTTTGTATAGGATTTGAGGTTTTCATGGCGGTGAATATGAAGATGTCTGTCTTCTGGGTTGTAGTGCCCAGTAGTCTGGTAAGAATTTACTGACGTTTCAGAGGTCCTTGCTGCTTCCATCATCACCCTGATGATGGAGGCAGCAAGGACCTCTGAAATGTTGGTAAAATTCTACCAGATAACATGGTGCAACAACCCAGAAGACAACCATGTTCAATGTAACTTTAAATAGCGAAGTATTTCTGAATACTGACATGAGAAATATTTGAGTTCCATGAATCATACTATGGTGTCTGGTTACCTGAACTGTCACCTATAACTAAAGAGGTACTGGATTCAACTTTTTGATAATCTGATTCTTGTTTGTTAGCATTGTTGAAGTGTATATAAGTTTTAATCTTCAAGGTAGGGGTTCAACTATAAGAAAATAGAGTGATATTAAGTACTGTGTAATCCAGTGCAATCACATAAAAAAATCTTTTTGTGCTATAAAAGTAATGCAAACTTCAGGAAGAAGATCACAACCAATTTGAAGAATAAATTCAACTTGTTAAGTAGTTTGTAAATTAGCCTAAGCCTGTTCTAATGGAAAAAAAATAATAATGTCTTTATTTGTACAAGTGATGTACTAATGCCAGCAGGACTGGAACTGACGTGTAATTCAGAGAATTTGCAAATGAAGACAAATTATATAATCTAAAAATAATGTTACCAAAAATGTTTACATTTCCTTCTTCTCACATGGTTCTATAAGAGTCAGGTTGTACTTTTGTTTTTAGTTTGGAAAGAGCACAAAAGTATTATGTGTCACTTTTATGTGAATGTATGTATCATGTAAATAATACATAAGCTGTGAAAAGTGAAATTGACAATGTCTATGATAATATAATGTTGCACATGTAATGTGAAATTACATATTTCTTGGTCTAAAAAACAGAGATGTGTAATTTAATCTCCTCAAAATATTATTTGGAAAGAATGTGCCTGAATTACATGATGAATGTGGTAGATGTATTATAAAAATTGATAATCAGTATCTGTGCACTTTTCTGATTTTTACAGTTGCAAATGGAAATTTTGCATGGTATTAGAAGAAAATAAAAAAATAAGTTATTTAACCTGAAATTTTAGGGTTGTTCACTAAACAAATACTCATATTAGAGGGGAATATGTGTGTGCTAATAGTTTTCATTAAAATTAATCAGGGTGGATTATTTGAAAAATTGAATGCAAATTCATGTGCTATTTAACTAGCCCCAAACTTTTAGTTCTCATGTTTATTTCATTTAGAAACTGACCACAAGAATATGTAAATACAAGTACAAAGAAGAAAGATGAAAATAGACAGGTTTACAAATGTGTGAAAATCATGTGAATTGTGTAGAACTTACCTAAGTATATGTACAAACTGATTTACTAAGTTCCTTGATTTGTTACACAGGAAAATATTTTGTAGCTTGAATGTTAAAAATAAGTACTGTCTGCATGCCAAGAGAAGTCCACTGGGTAACTGGAGAAGGAGGTTATCTTACTGTGCGTGCTCACTCCACCTATTTATATTCCGAAAACATTGTACTCCAATAATACCCAGTACTTCAGTGCACTATATATACAAACAGTGTTGCCAAGGTGGATTCATGTTTTGTGAAAGAGTACAGAGTAGCCGTTCATGCTTACCCCAATTCCAGCAGATTTCTCATGGCATGCGTACAATATTTTATAAAAAATTCAATCATTTTATTTATCAGAATCAATGTTGAATAGGACTTCCATTTTCCTTTGGTTGATGGTTGATAAGATGTTATCCTGTGATACAAATGGCCACATTTAAATTGTTATTGTACAAAAACCAAAGAGAACCATTTAAGTCCTTGGAGTTATTGCAATACAGAAGGGAAAATAGCATCACAAGATGACACCTGATCAGCCATCAACTGATGGAAGAGATAGGAGCTGTAATCTAAGAAAATGGGGTTCTTTTTCAACATTGATTCAGATAAAGTTTAATTGAGTTATAAATAGGATATTAATTTTAATGTTAAAATGGAAATTATGCTTCTGTGTAATAAATTAACAAAACTGAATACATCTTTTTATACACATACTTAGGTATGTTCTATACAACTTACATGAGTTTCATTCAAGTCCATGTAGCCATTCATTTAACTACATTTTAAAAGAACAATTTTTTTTCATCCTTCTGTCCCACTTGTAATATTAAAAATCACATTGTATGTAATAATGTAGCAGGTACATCACGACACAAATCATGTTGTTCTACTGATTTTCAGTATGTTCATATATTAGATGAATAACTTGAGTGATACAAGATTCCTGTATGGATGAAAATAACAGCTGTTTTAAATTTTTTCCAAGTTATCTGAGTGAATGCAGGTTGTTTTTTAAACTGCCATGAATTTATATTCCATAATGGAAAACTTCCAAAAAATTATATATGGTAGAAGGTGTGAAGTCCCATTCAAATCCAGTTGGCAGTGAAACTGGAAATTTCAAATAATTATACAAGGAACATTATTGAACATAGGAAATCAATGTGATATTAAAGCTCTCAATAAAAATCTTCACAAGAGCTAGAATTTTTGGTATTTTTCCCCATACTATTTTATTATAAAACATGAATGCTAATAATTTATATAAAACATGATGGGCTTTTCTCTGAAAAGTGGTGTATGATTTGATTGGTTGTCGGCTATTAATGAGTCTAATTTCCCTACCTGTTGAATTTTAATTTATCTGCACTTCCATGTATTTTACAAACTCAGTCTAACCAAACATGTTTCATTATTCATATTGAACAATAATTTGGACTCAAAAACTGACTAAATTAGACACAACTGCTGCCATATAACAGCAACTTTAAATCTTATAATGAAATTCCAAGTACTTAAAATTGTAATCTGTCTGTGAAGAGTTTACAAACAAATGTTGTACTGACTGTGATGTTCCTCTCAAAGCTGTTTCAGAAACACTGAGCTGGAAGAAAGTTTAGATTCTTTGTAACATGTATTGCATAATAGAAATATGTGCACAAAAACTGTCACATTCAGAAAGAACTTGACTTCCTAATACTTATGAGTCAAAGTCAACTGTATGAGGAAGGAAGTGTGTGCAGTATAAGGTGGTTGTCCATTAATCTGCAGTTGATACAAAGGACACCTGAATAATTTTCTTTTAACTTAGCAACAGAAACAAGTTCCATTATCAGCATTTTTAATTAATTTGGCCAGTAAAGAGATGTTATTAAAGATTTTATTACAGATTCAAGCAGCCTTAATGACTGAGGGTGCTATCTTTCACATGGTACATGTAGATAGGTATTTTTTCTCTACAGCAGGATTTGCTATACTTGTTAAGGAAGACAGGGTGATGTAATATGATTCCTCTTTGGACCATAACAGAGCAGTGGAAATTTTTCTGGAATGAAGAGTTTGAATAAAAAATGCTGTGCGTGTCTAATGTTATTCCTGTATTTGCTAGTCTTAATTGTACAGGTTGTTGTTTTCTTGTTAATGTAACTGATTTGATCCACTTGGATACCATTTAGATTGCAGTGCTGTTCAAGGGAGTGAGAATTATCTATGTAGTTGTGTGAAGGAGATATCAGTTAATTTCTAGACAAGTTTTGATACTGTATAATAACCAGTATTTGTTATTACAGTGTTTTAGTTTTAGTTTTCAATGTTATTTGACCCTACATACAGGACAGGGGTGGCCACATTGTTTAAATTTCATACACAGATCTGTTCATTGCGTAAAAATTAACACATGTGCATAAATATACCTGTAATAGTTTTATTTGGATGTATTATGTCCATCTAAACATTACACTAATGAACACACTAGAAGTTGTGACATTCTGTATGGCATTAAAAATACAAGACATTCCATTTAAAACACAACCCTAACCACAAAAATATTTGTAAATAAATTGTTTGTTAGTTTTTATTTGTTAGGAAGAACTTGCAGGAGAGCTTTACAGCAGGTTCTGAGAATGTTCACTACCTTCTTGAATACACTATGTTCATACTTGCACAGCTTTTGCATAATTGGCAGTGGCATAATAGAGTAACCTTGACTTGAATGTCAGCGGAGAGAGAGTTACAGGGGTGTGGACCAGCTTCTGGTTTCATTTTTATACTGTAATGCATGGATGTTGGGTTGCATTTTAAATGGTATATCCTGTAAATATCTGATAGTTTTATTCCCTTCTTCAAAGGAAGAGTAATAGTTTGAGGATACCACTGTATGATCCTCAGTCAGAACTTCTTTATTACCTTCCTTATTACCTACTTGTTGACTTTTCGTGTCCATGATACATATGATAATTATGAATTTGAAATATTCCATTTTCAGATATACTAGTTGCATATTTATATATCTTTGTTCTTTTCTTTATCCAAAAGTGAAATAAATATTTTGTCTTTTCTGTAATGAAGGAAGTAATAAAGTTATTATTTTTCAGTGTTCGAAAAATCTAAGTTTCTGACAAAAAATTGATGTGTTAAAAATAGATATAGGTTTAAAGCATAAGCAGTGGCTATGCAAATGGCTGTGTATTTGTAATTTACCAATGCCTTGTTGTTTCATGATGATTCTATTTGTTATAAATTTGTTTTATTTATATGTTTTGTATTTTGGGCAGCTAAGCTTTCAGAGCAACTGAAACATTACATTAGTATTGTGTTGGTACACTAATTGTAATATGAAGGTATGTTATGGCAAAAGATTATCTTGAAGGAATTGATTGCTTTGTAGTTGGAAAAGAATATATAAATTAATTTCAGCTAACAGTACTTTCCATATGTGGAGGATAATGTATATATTTAAATTTTTATGTATATTTAAGCAACAAACGTATGATATATTTACTTACATAACAAGAAATCATGCAAATTCTGGACTTGTGTAGAGGTGTAAGTGGAGTTACAAAGCATCGAAGATATTCAAGTATACAGGAAAGATAGCATTTTTAGATTAAAAGCTAGTATTTACCTTCTTAAAATTAAGATATGAAGTGGTGTAGAAAGATTGGTTCAGTTTGCTGTTCTAAATCATCCATTCCGCAGTAATAGTTGAAAGTAGTACACACTGTGAACATGTAAAACTAGTTTCAAATGGCTCTGTGAGTTTTGTTTGAACAATGTAGGCTATTTAATAGTTAAGACAAACTAATAAAGAAAGATTAAAAGAAAACAAGGAAGCTGGAGTTTTTGAAACTAGCTACTTTATAAGCTGCACAAATTACTGTCAGTCTTTTTGCTATATAGAGTACTAAAAAATTGCTTATTGCATCATATTTTCACTCCAGTCAGTTGTTAGTGCTTTCTGACTAGGAAACTATGGTTACGTAATGGCCATTCATTTTTAATTTACAAGATAGATATAGAGAAATGAGAAATCTCTTCATGTAGTTGATATAAAATATTCTTGGGAGAAGAAAAAACATGAAATTATAATAGTCTGCAGAACTTGCTAATGCTACACATAAATGGGTACATATATTTTTATATTTAGTTTCCGATTTCTTCATTGATAATAATATTAATACTTGAGCCACAAAAATCAATAGTTTGTAAAATATATTTATTTCAGCTTTCTGCGATGTCAATTACAATGCACTGTTTATGAAATCTTGTGCAATTCATTTTTGTAATGTATCAGTTTATGGTATACAGAAAAAGAAACTATTCCTGTTCTAAAGCCATGCCCCTTGTATCATAAAGTTACTTTATATTTTTAAAATGTTATATTCTGTTTATTTTCTTAATTTAAAATTTTACTGCTCTCATCTTCTGCTGCTTTTACACCAGTAAAATTGTGTGATTATTGAGAACACAAGAATTTTGGGCCCCATGATTAATTATTTTAAATTTAACATACTAGAATAGTTTTACTCTTGTCTCTAATATAGACTGATCACCTGAAGAGTATGCATATTCAAATATGAATGGTCTGATTTGTAAAACTGAATTTTTATAAAAATTATTCTGATCATTTTTAAGAATTACATATTGGTTTCTTAATATAATTACTGAGTAGTATTATAAACATTAACTTTGCTGTTTCTTCATATTTCTGCCTCACTTCCATCAAGGTGAGAGTAAACCTATCATCTTATTTCCATGTATTTAATTTGTTATAAAATACCCCTGAAGTAATTTTGTTTGTTACAACTTCTGGCAATTCCAAGCAATTTAAAGTTATTTTTTAACAGTAGGTGTTTAATGTTGCCTGAGGGGAAGAGACCGTTGGGGAGACCTAGACGGGAGGATAATGTCAGGCAGGATCTACAGGAGATAGGAGTTGAAGGAGACTGGATTTTGTTGGCCCAGGACAGGGTCTGGTGGAGGGCTTTGGTTAAATCGGTGATGAACTTTGGAGTTCGGTAAGCCATCTAGGTAGTTAGTTAGGTGTCTAATGCTATCAAAGTATATAGTCAGTTGTCTTCTTTATTTGTGCAAATATGTCTGTAATTTTATTAATCTGGCAATTGGTTTTGGGTAGGAGTAAAAAGCATACAGATTCATTCTCCTATACACACTGGCACAATTTTGGTCTTCCACATATCATATATAGATATTCCAACACTACCTAAGTCTTCCACAAAAGTTATTAATTTTGATGAATACTCTCTTCATATAATTTTACTGTGAAAATTAAAATGAAACAGTCTAAGTTTAAACTTGGTAAATGTGCCAACTTATTTCCATATGTAAAACTAATTTATCATCAGAGTGAATAAAATAAACTTTTAGCTATATAACTAAAGTTTTATTGACGTAAATACGTCTATACGGAAGGGTCATTCGGCAAAAAAGTGAAAGGAAACAATGTGTAAATATTGACCGACAACAATGGTCAGCTAGTGTGCATAGTTATATTCCCTAAGAAACGTCATCTGTTTACTCGGCATTGTTGTGTTACATTACTGCCGTCAACCATCCGTTTTCTTTATTGTGGAAAGAGCTGAACTGTGAATCGGTTGTAGAAGAAGTGTGTCGTAGACTAGATAATTTTGTGATGGTAAAAACGTTTTAGAATATCACAAGTACTTTTCTTATATAAGAATTATTACATTACATTACATATTACATTACATTTCATTACATTACAGAGACGTATTTACGTCAGATTCTCCGGAACTTTTTTTTATGCTTTAGAGCAATTTTAAAACCTCAGCATACAGAAAAGTCTTACAGTAATTACAACATTAGAGATAATTTTTGGGCTGCAGCAGCCATATAGGATTGCATAAAAGCAGCATTCTGAATTTTGTTTTTAATTCTACTCATAAATTTGTGGAAACATTTAAATAGAATAGAATGGAATAATTTTTTCAATTTGCGATTATTTATTACACCATATGGTAATACACTTATTGGTCCATTAAACAGAGAAGCTGTAACACATCCCTACTCCTGTTTATTTTAACTTGAAGCTGAATATGGAGTAATTACTCTCTATATTTAGTTTACATTTTGTATCTCTTGCTGGTCACTTCGCTTTACATTGAAATGCAATTGCACATGCCTATTCCTGCAATATCCATGGAGCCCCATTTATTAACAATTAGCATAGTAATTATATCACAGTAAATAAGCTTAGGTCAATAAATATTTAGTTTATAACTCATTGTACAGTGATTTATTGAGTAAGCCAAATGCACTTGCACATAACACAGCAGTATTTACTACTACTATTTAAAACTTATTTTTCTTAGAACCACATCTTCAAATGTGAAACAAGGTTCTCCGAAATAAATGAGTGAGAAAAGTATTTATTTAAAATCTTTCATTTATGTGCTGTAAGGAACTAGCTTTGTGTAGAATGAAGTGATTTGAAAATTTAAACTTTAATGAATAGAAAAACATTAAAATAACTTCCAGTGAAATAAAATTTTAACATGATTTCTGACCCTTTCAGTATGTATACGAATGTTCACAAGAGCCTGCCACTGGCTTATATCCTGAGCCACATGAATTCAGCTGGCACCCCCCCTCATTCTCTTCCTTGAAAATTTCTTCCCTATGCATGCTGCAAGGAAAACCATGACTTCCCACGGTCGTGTTCCCTTATACTTATTAATCTTTTCTAATGTTTATTACGATCGTTCAACGCGGATTTAGCGAAATTGAGTAGTAATTAGTGATGTTATCGACAGAGCAACAGCTGCTGTCATCATTTGTAGTAGGTCTAGAATCGTTGCCGACAGATGGAAGCACTATTTGAATGACGTCATATGCCACCAATCTTGCCAACGAAAGGCGCTGTGTTGCCTATCAATTTGTATTAGAGTTTCAACTACGGATTATTACAAGTTGGTATTATTTGTGATGCGTAGTTTTTAGGTTAGAGAGAATCATTTGAAGGAGAATGTCATGTCAAATATGGCTGGAGTGAGAAGTGTAATGGTGGTGTAACTGATGTATTACAGTAATTGTACTGCAATATCTTTATGTCAGATTGCCTGGTTTATTTGCTGTGGGCTGTTTTAATTGTTTTATGGTGAAATATTAGTTGTTAAAAATGGTAAGTAGTGACAAGAGTTGTTTATCTTTTATATATGTTTATGCATGTCAAACCATTCTTACAGTGGCAATGTTTTTAAAGTTTCAGTTTGGATTTAATATGTTTCCCGATATTCCACGTCCACTCAACACTCAGTATAAATGCTATTCAGTATCAATGCTCCCTGGAAATGAGCGACATGATGTTGAAAGAGGTGGTAAAAGTAAGTTGCATATCTTACAGCATATACAGATTTTAATTGTGTTCCTACGTTTGAGTACTGTCATTTCCTGTTTTGTATACATTTTTGATTTACACGCTTTTATTATCATTAACAATTAATGAACATTACCAAGCCTTTTGTCTGAATTGTAAGTTATTACAAACTTTTAATACCTAATTCGTTTCAGTTATAATGCCTCCATCAGCATTGGATCAGTTGACACGTCTGAACATAGTTTATCCAATGTTGTTCAAGTTAACGAATAAGAGGACAAACCGCATCACACATTGTGGGGTTTTAGAGTTTGTAGCTGATGAAGGCAAAGTGTACTTGCCGTACTGGGTATGATATGAGTGCTATTTATTATAAATTAATATTTTATTGAGTAAATATGATTGTAAATTATTGTATATTTTTATTAAAATAATTTAATTTTAATTTACACATTTTTGCAGATGATGCACAATTTGCTTCTTGAAGAGGGAGATTTGCTTCAGATTGAAAGCGTATCATTGCCTGTTGCAACATTCTCACGTTTCCAGCCACAGTCAATAGATTTCTTGGATATTACAAATCCAACAGCTGTTTTAGAAAATGGTTTGCGTAGCTTTGCATGTCTTACAACTGGTGACATGATTGCTATTAAGTATAATCAACGGATATATGAACTGTGTGTTCTGGAATCAAAGCCTGGGCCTGCTGTTAGCATCATAGAATGTGATATGAATGTAAGTGGTTTGAAAGAACTGTGATTTGGGGTTCTAGAAATGAGTTGAGTGGTAGATGAGGTTATGTCTTTGAAAACTTTGTAGTTTAAACTTTTAGTACTTTCTGTGGTTTTATAACATTTATTTATAAAAGTGTTTATAGTGTAACAATAGTAAGAGTTGGTCAAATGTTTCTTTGATTGACTGCCATGCTGTGGACACTATTAAATCCATGCACAGATTTGGTGGAATTTGTTGAGGCTGTGTTACTTTTTAATTTTAGTTGGTTCATTATACTGATTGATAGGAGCATATGTTACACTGCTGCAGGTTGAGTTTGCGCCTCCAGTTGGTTACAAGGAACCAGAACGAATTAAGAAACCAGATGAAGAGATGGCAGTAGATGCAGTTGAACTGATGCCTGCTGGCTTTGTTGCCTTTTGTGGAGAAGGAAACAGGTGAGTAAATTCTTAGAACTGTGTAACAACAAAAATTCAATTCTGTAGATTGTTTTATGGTTTTACAACAGAAATGTCAGTAATGCCAAATACTTTTATTGGTATTAGTGACAAAATGGTGTATAAGATTTGTTCAATAGAGGTATATGCTCAGTTAGGTTTTTATTATTGAAGGGCTGTTTCGTGCCTACATCAGTGTTGTCTGTAATTACATTTGTGAAACTTATTGAGAATTCAAGCTGTTCAAGCTAATCTTTTGTTGTGGATTGGTAAAGGAATTCTCTGCCACTTAAAGCAACTATGAAAACTGAAAGTGGTAGTCCAAGCACAACCCATTTAGGAGATCAACAATTTTTTTTTGCAATAAAAGAAAGTTATTTGTGACATTTGTTTTTACATGCCTGTGAATTTTCCCTTACTTATGTTGTGAATCACATACAAGGTTTAGAAAATAATATGAATTGTAATGTTATTCATTAAATTATTAAAAGTTCATTATTGGAAGAAGAAAGCACATATGTATGCCTATTACCATAGGCACCAGGCTTTCAACAATAAAACCATAATTTATCAGATGTTATAAACACACATCAGTCCTTGTGAATCTGCATTCTGTCACATGAGGTGTTATAACTGATCATCCTCGATTCCACGCACAACTTCACTCAGTACTCCGAATTGGTGGATAAATGTTGGTGTTGATCTCTTGGGTAGTAATGTGTGAATTTGCAGCATTCTGGTGTGTTCCGATGCTTCGTATTTGTTCTTACTGTCACTTTTTACACACGCTGTTTACCACTGTCTAAGTGTTTATTGAATTATGTGTTTTGGTGGTGGTTTGATGTGTCTATATGGTTATTGCACAAAAATTAAAAATCAAATATGAAAGTAAATTTTGGTTTTAATATGAGTGCAGTAACGACATAGACACATCAGCATCAAACCAATTAATCTTGGGCACTGTGTGGCACTTTTTGGAGAGTCTCGGTGTATGACACTAACAAATGACCACGTGTTACAGGCTCGATGGAAAGAAGAAGAGAGAAATTGCGACTAGCAGTAAAATGGCTGTGAAGGCGGCTTACCAGCGAGGAGTTCCAGATTACAATTACAAAATAGGAACTCTGAGATTTCTAAGAAACTCCAGACCACCATTAAAAGAGGTGATAAGGCATTGCCAACATTTGTTTCTCGTTTAACATGCAGCTGTGCTTGATTGCTGAATGTCACCAGTTGGCGGGCAGCAGAACAGGAGCCACGCTATTTCTGTAGTGGAATATGAACCAGCACTGGGAATAAAGTGTTGCCTTCAGTGGACTGGTGGTTGGCGCCCTCGCCACTGGACCCAAGGTTCGCAGGTTCAGACCCAGCCAAGGTCGATGGATTTTTAAGGGTGACAGAAATTTAACGTGGTGTTTTGTTTTCTTAGTTGGTGTAATTTGGAGTACTTGCCTATACTATTTCAGAGGGATTATTTCATATTCATATGGTAGGTCACTCAGTGACCCCAATAGCTGTGCTGGCAGTAGCATAGTTACTGGTAGGGGGAGAGGTCAGACTAAGACAGGTACCCTGGTCCTCCAGGTTGGGGGTTGGTCGCAAGGCTAACAACCTTGCACCATAAAAAGGAAGATGTTTCGAAACCTCAATCAAAGCCTCGGACAGACGGACCTAATGGAGGACCGAATGGAAGAGGAGTACTGAGGAGGCCGTGGACCGAATACAGACTGGAGGGCCATAGAAGAAGAAGATAATTTATGAGACATCGGTCATTGTGATATTAGAGCGGTGTGGGTCTGGCAATGAAATAATACCATTTCAGTAGTAAATTACACGTGAGAAGTTAATAATAAGACAGGCAGTCACAATACATTCAGTTGCTGAGGGATAATAATGTATATTGGGCGTAAGTCATAAATTGTTATAGTGTTAGAGGCACGAAAGTTGCGTTAATCAGTTTATTCACAAATAGGCCCAGAACTTCATGCTTTGCCGCAAGCGTTGTACGATGGAATATTATCAAATTATATGTTCCTGGTTTATTTAATGTACTACAATCTTATTTTGCTTCTTCCCTGGATCGCCATGGATTAGGCTGGAGTGTTTTTCAGCTTTATCTTTTGAGTGGTCACTATATCTCTGTGTTCCTGTTGTCAGATACGGGTAATTGAAATGGCGAGTCTGAGAAAACAAGGTACAAACACATCGCTAGATATTTGTAAATGTTTCTCTTTGAAGATTAGAAACATATTACAGACATGCACCGTATTCTGTGATTGAATTTTAAAATTTCTTTCTTTCTTTTTACCAGAATAAGGAACCAACCGAAGAATTCAAAGCGTTCACTGGAGAGGGATTTTCACTTCGCCAGTCGAAATCTAAGAAATTACTGTAATGTGAGAGTAATTTGAAAAGAACATGCTAATGGAAGTTATTGTATCTCTTTGTGTATCTTTGGTGAAAATGAATCAATATGAATATTTTCAGCTAAAATTAAATGGGTTATTGTATTTCTATTATTAATGTGAATGTTCCAGGCAACTTCAGTCCAACAAAAACTTTGTAATGCTGTAAAAGTTTACGTCACTTTCTATCTTATTCACTGCAAGTCTGATTTAATTGAAGTTTTATTTATAGTGTTTCTCCTAACTGCCATACTCTGTAGTGTGTGTTTTCTCTTATATTTTTATAACTTTAGTAAAAGTAATTACACTTGGTCCGTAATAAATCATCTGGTTTGTCAAATCACTGTCTTCGTCATATGATTGAAAATTGTTAGGATCTTCACAAACTTTTATCAGTAAGATTTGAGGTTTTTCCAGCGGTGAGTATGAAGATTTCTGTCTTCTGGGTTGTTGCGCTGTGTAGTCTGGTAGATGTTAACCAGCGTTTCAGAGGTCATACTGCCTCTGTTGTCAGGGTGACATCGACCAGACTACACGGCGCAACAACCCAGAAGACGGAAATCTTTTTATCAATAAAATTCCCGTGTTTCACTTCCCAGCTACTGTATACATATTCAGTCTTCTCCCCCGTCCGGAACCTGATGACTTAATGTACAGTTTTGATAAGGGACCCACATATTATGGAGATGTGTTACTGAACTCATACACATCAATATTTTATGTTTTATGTATTACTTTAATTGTAATGACATGCAAATAAGTGTCAGAAATTGGGGTGCTATTTGCCTCAGATACGTGTATGTCGACTTTATTAATTTTGTGCAGGGCGTGTAGCGTGCGTAGGAAAGGTGAGAAATGCGCACAGTGTTATTAGACAACATGAAGGGAGGAGCCCACTTCTGAGGTTGAGGAAGCAGTTTTATATTGGATTCTCCTGTAATTTGCATGCAGTTAAAGAGAAAAACCATAAAACTCAGTACATTAACCTTTTTTAAGAAATGAACCCGTGCTTTTGAACGCTAATGCAGTGACCGACCACTAGCATAAATTTGATGGCTGGGAAATTCTTTGTGAAAATAAGAAAACATTTCTGTATTAATAAATAAGCATCCTGGAACTGGGTTGTGACAAAAAGGAAATTACAACAGAGAATTTTGTTACATAATTTATAACAAATAAAAGTAGAGCTGCCCCACTGTACGCCATGTGGGCGCTTGGGGGGGGGATGTTGTATAGCTACTCATTCTTGATCTCAGCACTAGATACAGATTCTTTACAGAATTTAAACCACTCACATTTCACAGCCCTACAATAAAACCGACAGAACTGTTGTTTGTATGTTCTTTGGATAGTACACGTGTTGATAAAAGTTTCTTAATGTGCAATAAAAGCATTCATTGCCACACTCCTATAGTCCAAGTTCGTCTTATGGGTTGCTGTTGTCTCTTTACATTGGCTTTTGTATCGGCAATGATAAGCCCGAGGTCGCTGGCCTATCGGATATCCATTGCGTCTCGTAGTTGCAAGGGTGACGTGGCGTTGCTAGGATACAGTTAAGTGATTGTGTTCCACAGTTTTGCCCGGGCGATGGCAGTAGCTCTTACAAGGTCTGCCCCAAGGTTGCACTACTGTCTCCTCGGTATATTATTGATGCCAGTTTCAGTAATGCGAGCAAACTGTGCATGAAATTTATCTCTGTGTATTTACAGTTATAACTCGAAGCCCACCGCTTCAATATATTGTTTCAGAACCCACTCCTTTTTACAATGACACGAAACAATGACTACAAGAAGACGCTTTTGAATTCTAATTCAAATTCTAGTCTGGGTTTGGTCACACAGTAGTATTGAGGTTTCTGTGGTTCTTTCTTTTTGAATCTTGTGATTTTAGAATCCTCGTTCCTCTGCCTCGGCTTTCGTTCGCCTTGTTCTCTCCTTTTGTTGGTGTCGCTTCAGGGGAGCGTTGTAGTGCTGGCGAGCAAAACATGAGCCCATAAACTTGTACTGCCGATACTGCAAACTTCCTCCTGCACAACTTGTGGTCGCCCACATTCACTCGAGCCGACAGCTCGTGCGGTGAATTCCTCGCTCACTGCTGGCGACAAGACGGATTTCCTGCTTCTGGTATCTGGAAAGAAATTGGGACATTATTTCCGCATTAGTCTTGATCACCTTTCGTGCATTTAAAACCTGTGGAACCTTGTGTATATAAAAAAGAATAATCTGTATAACACGTTCTTCAAAATGTCAGACTTTTTGTGTTGGAATTTTCACGATAACAATTACTGCTCCAATTGTGACGTGATTATTAAGGTAATCAGATCAAGGAAGATCAGATGCATGGATCATGTAACACGCATGAGGAAATAACTGCATACAAAATGGGAGGAATCCGCTTAAGAGATCAGATGGAAGGAAAGTATTAAAATATTTAAGAAACGGAGTGTGGAGTGGATTGATCTGGCTTGGGATTGGATATAGTGGCGTGCTGTTGTGAGCACGGTAATGAATCGTTGGATCCTGTAGTAGAAGGTGAATGTCTTCAGAAGACAAACGACCGTCAGCTTCTAGATCTTGCATTAAATTAATACGTTAGGATTGTGCATCCTTAGTTCAAAAATGTGTGGGCTGTTGAGATCCTTAACTATTGTTTGAGACGTTGTAAATGCCTGTATTTAACGAAATGATTTACGAATCAGTGCAAAGAGACATAGGTATTCTTGTTTGTTGTAACAGGAAAACTTATCGTCTGGACAATTTTTGATTTTCATTTTGCTTCAAATGATCGAAACCTTATAGAGCTCCGGTACGTACGTACAATATCCATCATCTTGATGATGGAGACTGCAAGGAACTCTGAATCATCGGTAAACTTCTACCCTGCAACCCAGACGACAGTAGTCTTTGCATATATCGATTTCAGTCTATTTCTTTAAGTGTTTATAAGCTTATAAGTTTGTATATAGTTATTCTAAATTGTTTACTTATGGATTATTTTCTGTGATTTTAGTGTAACAAACAGGAAACGAGAAGGAAGTAAGTTAAATCTCTTCACGTTCCAAGGTCCTTTGACTCAAGCATATGTTACAAGTCGATATGAAATATTATAACTAAATTAAATAAATATAACTAAAATAAATTTAATAACATATAACTAAATTAAATTGAATTAATATTAATATTGACACGAAATAGAGTAAAATAATTCAAATAATACTGCACCCGACTTTCGTAGTAATTGACTGTCAGGGAGACAGTGACACGTTGGACAAGGTTGGAATATGGTGTGCGTTTGAAGAGTTCGAAGATTTCTTTTCTCCTAAGAAACCTGTTTGATTTTTGTGTTTTTTCGTGCGAACAGAAATGGACCGAACAAGAAGCTGCTGCTACGAAATGGACTCGGGCATTGAAGCGCGGCTTGTGAAAGCAAGTCTGAGTCTATAGTTAATACATGTAGGTGTACGGGGCAAAGTGAAGGCTGCAAATATGATACCGTTTGCATTTTTAACAAAGAATAATTGCTACCTTTAATTACAAGCTAAATTGTGATGTAGGTAAAGAAACATCGAAAGCTGGCCCGTGCACAGATCGCTTTTAAAAAATGATTGAAGTTGTGCGCATATAATTAAATTGAACAGTATATTTTCATTGTAAATATTAAAATTACAGTTTGAAAAGTGTCCGGATCGCAATTAAGCAGAAAATCACCAGAAGTTGTATTTCTGTGCGGTAATTTGATCAGATGACCTTGTTTTATTGGATTTATATCTGTAGGTTATAAACGTTATGAACTCTTAGCTTGGTGAGAGGACTGTAGAACTGACGCTAGTAGCAAAATAACGGCACTGCCATGTACAGGATCTTTCTTGAACAAGGCGTTGTTTTCCTTGTATCGACTGATGCGATTTGAAATTATGTGGACACCGTAATTTTGTCTTGTCTGTGGTTCCTGATATAATCGAGCCTCATAAATGATAGGAAGTGATGCCAATTTACGTAGTGGGGAATGAATTTCATTTTCCAATGGGGTTAAAAATATTCGTTCTGTAAGAATATTATTCAAAGAATTCCTCTTCCATATTAAGACTCGGGAACACGGAAGTAACCTGTTTTCTCTGGCCAGAAATTAAAAGTCATTAAAACTGTAAACTTGTTCAATTTTACTGTGTCAGCATAGAACATGTGTTAACTCATCTGTATAGTTTGAATTTAATTAATTAGTTATTTCGCATTGTTTGTAGTGCTTGAATTAATTTCAGATGTGACTATTACGCTATTAAGTAGTTGCTCTTGATTTGATGAGTTCTTTTACTGTATTCAGGGATTGGATATCTTTAAGTTATTTTTACTGTATTCAGGGATTGGATATCTAGAATAAAATATTATTTATTTACATTCCATAGATGACTTGTGGTACAAGACAGGGGTGTGGAACACATTACAATACGAGTATCAGCACTCAGTGTAAATACAGTACTAGCACGAATACTGATTTAGTATTAGTTTCGTAATTTTCAGAATGAACTGTTTGATCACGAATGAGTACAAATGCAGATACACGTTGGTCCGGAAACGTTTCTATTTTGAGACACATCCACTTTAATTTTATACGTTGTAAGTATAGAGAGATTTCCGATTGGAAATGTCTTGGTCAGTGTGGCATTTGTCTGTGTCGGTATTATCGTAATCAGTTATGACTTCGGACGTCGGAAAGGAAGGAAATGCGTATGACCGAGGTGATTTGTACCTCCGTTTAGATGGGGAAGGGGAAAAGAGTGGCTCCACATATCAGCCTTCAGAATGAAGAACACGAACGAGGGATGTGCAAATGTCCATCTTATCCCGGGTGAAGCTTGTGGAAATTTAGCTGAACGGTTGTTTGCTGTAAGAAATACGCAATTTCTTTATTTTGTATTAGACTTCAGTTTATTTTCATGTAAACCCCGGCAGGGAATATGTTGTTTATCCATTACTTCACAATTCATGCTAGACTCACTTTTGGGGTTTTAGGATCTGAGGGAAAGAAGGAATCGAGAGATTCTGTTTCTGCCTTGCAAGAACAAGATTTTGGCTGGAATTTTATATAATATTTTCCTCTCTTTACCGGCTTCAATTCAAATGTTTGTGGTCTTCCGCAGAGGTTGGAGATGAAGCAGTTATTTTTTTCGGGTATATTCTTTGTAGTTGTCTGCTGGCGACAGAGAAATGTCAGTCACTTAGAAGTGCATTTGACGTTCACTGAAGCTACGGAAGGAAAGTCTTCTTTTTTTCATTAAGGTGAAAAGCCGTGCAGGAAGTATGTAAGAGGGTTATGGTATAATATACGAACAAGGGGTGGAGAAGTGGTGGTCTTGGTGGCGAGACAAAAATAAGTGCGGGAATGAAAAGAGGAAGATAAAAGTACTGAAGAGTTAAGGGGGTGGGGAAACCGAAGAATAGAACGTGTAGAGAGGAAAGGGCAAGACGAATGGCTTTTACACATCAGTTCCTACACCGTAATTGATTTTTTGTCCTTCAATTATTGAGGTTTTTACCCCTGTCTTAGCTTTTATTCCTCCTTCTTACTTTTTAAAATAATTGTCTACTACGCCGCCCTATAGATGAGAAAGATTTATCTCGGGATCCCGGAGAGGAGGCAGCGTTCAAGAAGCAGAAAATACGGAGGTTATTTTGACTTCGCCGTGCATGTTTTTCTCAGATGCGATAATACCAACATTACAATTTATTTAGCTGTAATGTACAAAGTTCTCACGTCGGTGAAGATGTAGATGTTGGTCTTCTGAGTTGTGACGTCGTGTGGACTTGTAGGTAATACGCATCTTACCTACTAGGTATAACGGGGTTACAACCCAGAATACCAACATCGACAATTTTCATGTTCACATGCTTACATATCACGTGACAAGATTTTCGCGTTTTCCTCTCAATGGCATGAAAATTCTAATATGGTATTTTGAAACAGGCCACGACAACTTCCACTTCACCGTTTAGCTATTTTACGATTTGACGCTATGTCCTAAAATTTAACTGAGAATTGACACGTTTAATCATTGTTCTTACGTACTTGTGACAAACGAAGTTTAACAGAAAATTGACATTCTTGTACTTTCTGGTTTATTCATGTTTGCGTGTTTAGGAGATATATTTTACTTTACCAGTTATGCTTGTTTGATGTCCGTGTTCCTGAAAGTTTGCTGCAGCGGTTTTAATTAGCGTGGCTACTTAGATGGACGTAAATGTAACGAAGTCTTAAATGAGTCGTCCTTTTGTGCTCGTCAAAAAGGAACTGAATATCACTGTACAGCAAGTTGCGTGTATTCGTGGAAAACCGTATCGGATTTATTCATAATGCAGTTACTTTAGGGAAAATTAATTTCAGTAGCTGAGGAAATATAACTAAATTTTTCTCAACGCTTATGAGAATGATCCAGTTTCAAGAGCGCACGCCAGCTAGACGCGTAATGGCCGAATGAATTTTGTAACAGTGAACTGACTCTCTTGGCTGTGTGACTGGGGTTTGATTCCCGGTAGTGGTAAGTGTTTTTATTTCAGAACGCCCTGTTATATCTGTTCCACCCAGCCTCCCTCTCCATAGGTATTAGTGTAGGCCGTAACATGAGGTTGATTCAGAGTTCTAAAATGTATGGAACTGATCCTCCGCGCCCCTGCGTGTCTGGCAATTTGCCGTGTCTTTTGTATTTGTAACTACGATAGTTCAGTTTCCGTAGATGCTCTGCTTTGGGCGAGGGATATTGCCGGTGTAGACGCGTTTCTGAGATATTAGCTGTGAATATGGTTTTGAAACTCCTTCAGTTAATGAAACTACAAGATGGTTTAACAAGATGGAGCTTGAAGCGTAAATAAGTTATCGGAGAGTTAAAGCAGCTTTCTACGCTCCATTGATATATTATAAATGGAAGGAGAAATCAAGCTGGAAGGAAGGAACAACTAAGAAGGAGGTTTAGAGAAGAATAGGAGAGGAAAAGAGACAGAACAGAAAGAATTATTATCGAAATCTCGTGAATTTCCTGCAGTGTGATCACTTCTTTATTTCACACGTTCGTAGGAAGTGGCGTTTCAAATTGGTTTTACACAGACACCTGCAGAAGATCTCTTTTATCATCTGTATGTTCAGCCGAGCTCAAGTAATATCATTCGACTTAGTCTGTGGTACGGGATGTTTGTTAACAAGCTGATGGTTACTCATCTAATAAAGAAATCCTTAATTGAACTAGAAGGAATATTGCCGTATTCACAAATGTCCGTCACTGGACCATTTCCCGATCCAGTTCAATCACGGCCATGATTTCATGATCCATGTTTGTCAGATCTTTTCTAATATTATCCTCATATTTAAGCCACGTCTCCCAAATTAACCATTTTGTTCAGGGTTTTGGACCAAACGTTTATAAGAATGTATTATTTTTCCATGCTTCGTGTTGATACACGCTAATTTCTGTAGCATTATTTTATTAATCGCGTGATATATTATTATTAACAGCAACATTGGAAATTTTCACGTATTAGGCCAATATATCTGCTGTAAATGAAAAGTATTTTAGCTGAAATGTTGTGCACCAAATATGCGCAATGTAATTGCAGGTTGTTTAGTAAGAATTGTATTAGGAAATGATGGTTTATAACTATATTACCAGTAATTTTCTGCGAACAGGCCTCTCAATTTAATCTCTGACCCTTCTGGTCTGGATTTGTTTGGTATTTAAGAATCATATTGAGTCTGTGTTGTCAGTCCACCCCTGTGACTACTGAGCGTTCAGTATAATGGAATTTCGATCGGGTGTGGGGGGAGGTCGTAGAGCGGGCTCAGTATTCCTACTGCAAGTTGAATTAACACAGTAGGAGATTTCTGAGGATGAGGATGGTGATTTGGGAATCCTGCTGCTGCAAGAACTGATAAGAATTAGTAACGACCTGCAATATAACTAGTCGAGTTCTCTCTCAACGTAATGAAACCGCTTCCTTAGCAGACAGATCCTCGTTTTTACAACAGTGGCCCAAGTACACATGCCTTCATTATTGATTTCCCGTGCAGTTATGAAACAGGTGAATTACTTTTGTCTACGTTTCGTGGGTAAAGCATATTGTTTAAAATTACAACTCGACAGTGAGAGAATCAAATTTTTCGTTTATTATAAGAATTATACAAAGAAAGCTTCTGCTTTAAAATAGGAAAATTGAATATAACATCTCTAAAAGTGGTAAATGACAAAAAATAATTGAAAGGCGGTGCTGTCTATACAAAGTAGCGAGTCAGACTGAGACCTCGTGTATAATTTTGTGTTGTCATGGCCGAGTCCAGTATCAAAGCAACGTCTGTATATCAATACCACCTGCAATATCAGACTGGATTATGTGTTTTAATGGTTAAATGAACGTCACTGGTAAATTAGCAATTTCTCGTTCTTCAGTGTCATGCTACACAGACACTGTGTTGTGATACTTGTATGAAGACAATTTTAATTAGTTTACAGTGTTCGCTGGAAACAACCACTTTGTTCACGTATAATGAAATGTGTTTGTCGCAAGATTGAAACCCAAGCATGAATCAAAGCACAGGCAAAGACTTCGCCGCCAATTTCATTGGTTCCGCAGGCTAAAAGCTGTTGTCGGTTGCATCTGTCATTACAGGATCAATGCGGTCCTTTTTACGGACCTCGCCCCTAGTACTGAAAGCTCCGCTGACACGTATTAGACTTCTGGAGAGTTAGACTCTGTATCATGTCCTGTTAAGATAATTTATTCTTAACTTAATATTCTTGATCCAACAGTTATTTTCTGCGATGAACCGTTTTGCAGATCAGGCGATATAGTACGTCCACTCTTTGAACCCTTGTCTTACGTGTTATTGTAGGAACGAGGCCTTGCATTGCAAGACGTCTAAGAAATACGAATGAAATACATTATTGTTTGTTTTAAAAAACTGCCCAAACCATCTCATTCGTGGTCTTACTGAATCTCGCTTTCCTATAACGCTATGAAAAGATAATTTATTTTCACTGATATTATTGAACAAAAAGATGTTGTGGGTAGAAATGTCCCAAGTTCCAAAGTACCATTTATTATTTGGAACGTAGAAGGAATTAACTCCAAAGCTTAGACGAATACGTGTTTTTAAATACACAATCCTTTTTTTTTATTTTTCTGAAATAATATTCGTGAATTTTTTTAAAAAAATATCATTTTGACAGACGTGTTTGAAGTAAGAGCGACTTTTTTTTTAGTTATTTTTATACTGTGAACAGGATTTCGTTGAGTTCAACAAAGAAAGCTTCTGCTTTAAAATAGGAAAATTGAATATAACATCTCTAAAAGTGGTAAATGACAAAAAATAATTGAAAGGCGGTGCTGTCTATACAAAGTAGCGAGTCAGACTGAGACCTCGTGTATAATTTTGTGTTGTCATGGCCGAGTCCAGTATCAAAGCAACGTCTGTATATCAATACCACCTGCAATATCAGACTGGATTATGTGTTTTAATGGTTAAATGAACGTCACTGGTAAATTAGCAATTTCTCGTTCTTCAGTGTCATGCTACACAGACACTGTGTTGTGATACTTGTATGAAGACAATTTTAATTAGTTTACAGTGTTCGCTGGAAACAACCACTTTGTTCACGTATAATGAAATGTGTTTGTCGCAAGATTGAAACCCAAGCATGAATCAAAGCACAGGCAAAGACTTCGCCGCCAATTTCATTGGTTCCGCAGGCTAAAAGCTGTTGTCGGTTGCATCTGTCATTACAGGATCAATGCGGTCCTTTTTACGGACCTCGCCCCTAGTACTGAAAGCTCCGCTGACACGTATTAGACTTCTGGAGAGTTAGACTCTGTATCATGTCCTGTTAAGATAATTTATTCTTAACTTAATATTCTTGATCCAACAGTTATTTTCTGCGATGAACCGTTTTGCAGATCAGGCGATATAGTACGTCCACTCTTTGAACCCTTGTCTTACGTGTTATTGTAGGAACGAGGCCTTGCATTGCAAGACGTCTAAGAAATACGAATGAAATACATTATTGTTTGTTTTAAAAAACTGCCCAAACCATCTCATTCGTGGTCTTACTGAATCTCGCTTTCCTATAACGCTATGAAAAGATAATTTATTTTCACTGATATTATTGAACAAAAAGATGTTGTGGGTAGAAATGTCCCAAGTTCCAAAGTACCATTTATTATTTGGAACGTAGAAGGAATTAACTCCAAAGCTTAGACGAATACGTGTTTTTAAATACACAATCCTTTTTTTTTATTTTTCTGAAATAATATTCGTGAATTTTTTTAAAAAAATATCATTTTGACAGACGTGTTTGAAGTAAGAGCGACTTTTTTTTTAGTTATTTTTATACTGTGAACAGGATTTCGTTGAGTTCAAATTCGACTCTTACATGATCGTCCTTAAAGTACTCTGCTCGTGGAAACATTCTACTATAAATGTAACATTCTTTTGTCTACTTTGTTTTTAGATTGATGGTTCCTCAACTGATGAGATTTAAACCTTTCGACGCCACTAACATCACTACATTATCATGGCTCTGAAGTGTACCTCGTAGACAGCTTGCACTCTGTACAATAAAATTCTGTACATTCCAGTAGGACTTCGAAAACAGCGCCAAAACGCCAGGAATTTCTTTTCCGCTGTCATGAAATATAAAGAAAAACACCGTAATGTATGGAAATAAATATTGTCTCTTTCCTCCCAAACATTATCGCCCTCTGCGGTTTGATTGTTATTCTTACAGGAATCTGAAAATCCAAGAACATCCTCGTTGAATGTTTGCCTCTGCAGAAGTCTGTCTGAAAGAGGGTTGAATAGTTAATCGTCCATGCTGGCACGATGCTCTGACAAACTTGCTGCTCCGGACTTGTTCATGGTGCGAGGCATTCATTGAAAAGCTAATAGTTGTTCAGGCAGCCAAGAGATTATCTGCTCTTATGATATCCGAAGTTTAATTACCGTCCATTAAACGATTCGGAATGGGAACCTATTCTGAAGAAGTTGCATCCGCTCCACAATTATCACACCGCGTTTCACTGAGGCACTCTTCAGTATGATTTCTTCAGCTACAAGCAGGGCACCTCAGAAGTCTCTTGACGTTTACCCACTAACATTTTGTATAAAATTCACATGTCCTCCGTCTGTGCTGTCTGCCCTACTCATCGCATCCGCCATTATTTTATCACCCTAAGAATATTAGGTGAAGAACGAGAATTGTGGAGCTCCTGCTACGTCCTGTTGCGCTCTCTGTCTGTCTTTTGTCTCATCACATTGTCCGAATAACTTTGTCTACGCCCTTCCCTCGGAGAAACAAAGTTGTACAATCGTATGAAAGAGGGTAAAATTATCCTTTTTAATATATTTTAGTTTTGATGTTATTATAATTCCCATAGTTTACAGGACGATAACGGATTCTGAGCTGAAATGTAGCAAGAATTCCCTGAATATGATATGTGATAATGTATTCATAATTCTTATTTGTTATGGTTTTCCAAAGTAACTTTGCCTTATTTACACACGCACATGCACAGGTGCTTGCACTGTTCATTAGCCACGTTATTTATCCATTTTCTTTAACTCGTCACCGCTGTTTTAACTGTCTGTTCTTCTTCTTAATGCTCGGTACGCTTTCGGGCGCGCATTGTGGTGTTTCAAAAATTTCCTGTGTTTATTATATCTCCGTAATGATCCCACCTCATCAGCGTTTTAATTTTCTCTGTTTCGACGTCCTGTGCATGCCATTCTCACCTCTCGTCCTCCTTCCGCACATACCTCCATTTTCCTGGCTTTATACAGAATTTCCCTCCATACTCGAACACCCTCTCATTTGCATGGATGAGTGCAAGAGATGTGGGTAGCGTACCCAGCCAGGGAGATTTCGGTTTCCGTACCTCCCGTTGGAGTGAGCTCTATCCGCTGTGCTACAGTCCAGTTCAATGAAATTGAAAATTATAGCCTCTTAAAAGAGATATAATAGTGTAATTTATGAACATCTTATACCACCTCGTTTATAGAAACGGAGTGATTCGTGCGGAGGGCTGGATTCGTTCCTTCTAGAGGGTTCTTTCTTACATTTTCTTGAAGCCTAGAATATAATTCAATTCATTATTAAGGGTGTGGAGCAGCAGAGCTTAAATTTGCATTTGAAATTATTGCCCTATATTTCTTTATTTAAACGATAATACTCGTTATTTCCGAGACCAAAGTTGTTCCTGTGGTTTGAAGAACGATTTTTATGTGATTTAAGATCTGAGCGCTTCATTTGGCCGCTTTAGAGTTCTAAGGCTTACTATTACGTAGCTGCTTGACTTTATTCACACTGACGACTGGTATTTAATGACAAACGTTTTATGCAATCCAAGTCGTGCATTTTTAGACACATTTCCACAATTTCTTCTTATGATTCCATCTATTTTACTTAAATTACTACTTTTATTAGCTATGATGACTTCTGCGATACTGAATGTCATATTCCGAATGCAAACCGTCTGATACAATCTTCAAATTAGTGTCTTCATTGCCATACAATTCGTCCTTGGCAGTTAAACTGGTCATGCCATACCCTGACCTGATTCTGAACGTACTGCAAGCTGCTCTTTTTAGATAAAGTGTTTGATCAAAATCATACAACGGGGTCGAAACATTTGTATTTAAACTTAGAAAATGCAACTTGCATGAAGTTCTCGGAAAACGTTCTACTTGTGCTCATCTCCCTAAATGCGTCCGTCTATGTACAGGGGTTTCTAGGAGTTGTAAATTAGTAATTACACAAATGATACAGTTCAGTGATCTGGAATTTCCATTAGTTGATTCTCACTAGCTGAAGTTGTCAGATGTAACTTAAAACACAAATCAAGAAACTCAAAATGAATAGACGTAATTAATATCTACCTCCATACCATTTTTCATACAATGTTTATTTGTTAATCTCTATCAAACTACAAGTCAGTTATAGATCTGCCGCTGGCACCATGTTGTTATTTTAAAAATTACTGAAACTGTTACCTCGACTGAAACTGTATATAATTTTTTTTTTAAATTCCTCCAATAACACAAACTTTAAATTTCTCCAGTAAAAACATTTGCGTCTCTGTTATGATCAGAGTTCGTGGAACCACCATACTGGCATTATTCGAAATTGATTAGAATAGTCTGACGTTGCTATCACGTTTAATTAAACTACTTCGGTTTGCTCAACATCGATTACAGGGGAATAGATAAACACATACAGACATTATGACAGGCATGACTTGGTAACCACTTACAAGACCACGATCTATATATCTTTATCACAGCGTGAACATTAGCATAAAGATACTGTCTATTGAAGCAAATGAAGACAGGATTGGGAAGGTGTAGTCTTCGGACTACGCTAAAACCAGGGCTTTGGAGTCGGAGAGGGAGTCGGTAAAAATGTACCGCCCCCGACTACGATATAAAATCTTATGGAAACCTTCTATACCGTGTGAGCCGCCGGCGACCTCACGCTTAAGGAGATTTAACGACGCGTTGAGCCAAATGTTGTGGGAATAATGCTGTGTAACTTTGGCTCTGATACCATAGGGACTTCCACATAACCTTCCAGGATTTCTCCAGCATTTCTGCATGACCAATGAAATTCCGCATTAATTATCCAGAACTTGATTTGTTATCTTTACGAGATATTTTTACGTTGCTAAAATCAAGGAGGACGAGTGGTTAGTTATATAGCACGCATGGGACAACTGAGAATTGTAAACAATTTAGTTTTTAAAATGTGAAAGAAGATACCACTAATGAGATTTTGGCGTAAATGGGAGGTTAATGTTAAAATTAATCGGAGAGGCGTGCGTATTGTAAATATTTGAGTACTATAGACGTAGAATTTTTTAACCACCTGGGAAATTATCAACACTGAAACTCCATAGAGCTAACATGACAGCTTACCCGTTAACTACACTTAAAACTGTCAAGCCGTCTTAAAAGCTACGTGAACCATTTCTGTTCGCAGCGAATAGTCGGTGGGTAGTTAAATGCTCGTAGTGCAGTAGGTCCTTCGAAGACGTACTTGCGTGCTCCAAATAGCTCATTATCCATGTAGTATCAAGTTAATTCGTAATTTTATCTAAACTGACATGGAGAACATCAAGGACACGATAAATCTCTCGCCTGACGTGTAAAACAGTTCGCGGACTGTTCTGTAGTTTGATAGTGGCAATGGCACTCCCGCTTTGTCTTAACAGGAAACTTCATGTGCGAATTTCTGCTCTGGAGAGTGGGCTTTGAATTACAATAGAACAAAAGGACGGGAAAGCGTCGAGGGGAGGAAATGGCAAAGAGAAGTGGGAATATAGAAGGACCATGATTTATTTTTATTCATTTCCATATTCTCCGGTCCATGTCTCTCCACCTTTTTTTCTTCTAAAATTCCAATCCTTTCTTCATCCCTGTTTTTCTTCTCTCTCGTATTCCTTGTCCTCATACGGCACATGGTGGTCAGAAATTCGGTAACTAGTTCACAAAGGCCAATGTTCCATGCAAGCCAGTTGTATCACAGAGAAAAGTGCTCCGAAATTGAGGTAGCAAGTCTAGTTATAAATCTAGAATTCTAGTTGCGTCCTTAATTTTTTTTTTAAAATTGGTCCCCGAGCGACCGTTCTGTCTGAAACGGTGGGAAGGGCGTCTGGCACTCACATTGCGTTTGATATTCTAATGTTCCTTCGTCGTGCAAGTAGGGGTCTGGAAGATAGTAACATTAACACGAATCTGAATGAGACTTAAAATGCCTGGAAATCGAACTGTTTACTGAACTCTTCGTTTATTTGTGTTTCGGTACAGCAATTATTAAGAGAAAGGAGAGTGTGATTGGTTTACAACAGGCTTCTCCTGCAGCTGGACCCGTACGTGTACTTCGTAATCTGTTGTTAAAGAAACGCTGTGAGGGAATTGCATTTGCTGTCCGTCCGTCCATACCCTGACAGCCATCGACATTACAACCATTACTTACAAGATTTACATGAACGTCTGTATTTATTAACTTCCTGTGATCGGCAGTACCAACATGGAGGTCGTGCGTAATTTTCATGTGAGAGCAATACTAACGTCGCTGCACGTTGGGCCTGGAGTTTTTTTTAAGAATGATGATTTTTAAGAATAGCAGCTTGTTTAAGAGGTTGGAATTAATAACATGGCTGATACACGCAAACTGTTTCGATTTTGATATTTATTTGTGTAGTGGTACTTCACAAAATCATCTAAGGCACTGTAGTATTGAAACTTGCACTGCCTGACTTTTTGGAAACCAAAATACATTGTGTCAATCGCGAGTTTCTATTATTTGTTCTAATATTTCTGTTATTTGTTTTGAAGAAATGCCATAAAATGATATGTAATGTAACTAGATGCAGTTATGTGTACCTGTTCACTCAGTAAACAACATTCTCACATCGATATTACAGGTATACTGCATCACGCGAAACTTTATATGCCTGCCCGAAATTACGTGTGAACTGAAAAATAAACACAATAGCTCATTCGAAAGTATTACCTTATGACATGGCGATACCTACTTGTGGGTGGGCGAAACGGCGAATTATGTAGATAATCCACATAGTTGTATATCCCCATAGCAAGGATTGCTGGTATTCACTTGAACTAACCTCTCAGCTGGAAAGTTGGAAACAAATTTCCCTCCTATGCCTGTCTGTTCGTCCCTCCAGTTTTGGCC